AACTCAATAAGTTTTAGATTAATTATACACAAAAAATCTGAATACCATAGTTAAGAAAATCAGTCTTGGTCATAAAACCAGTCTCAAATAATTTCAAATATATATATATATATATATATATATATATATATATATACATATATATATATATATGTCTCTGAACATAATTCAATAAACAAAAGGTAAGAAAGAACAACAACACACCAAGAAAACCCCTGCATATGTTTGACAATTATAAAACACAGTTCTAAAATAACTGAGTAAAAAAAATAATGGAAATTTAAATATATTTAGAACTAAGCAGTAACAAAAATTTCACATATTGAAACTTGTGGTTTAAAGCTAATAGAGTATACAGCAAAACATTTTTTAGTCTTAAATGCTTATGTCAGAAAATAAGGCAAGGATCTAAATAGATACTTTTTGAAAGAAAACAGAAGGAAGGACAAGAGACATATGAAAACATGTTCAAAGTCACTAATCATCAGAGAGATGCAAATCAAATGACAATGAGGTACCATCTCACACCTGTCAGAATGGCTCTCATCAACAAATCAACAAACGACAAGTGCTGGCAAGGATGCGGAGAAAAAGGAACCCTCGTGCAGTGCTGGTGGGAATGCAGACTGGGGCAGCCACTGTGGAAAACAATATGGCGTTTCCTCAAGAAACTAAAAATAGAACTCCCATTTGACCCAGTGATCTCATTCCTAGGAATATATCCCCAGAAACTAGAAACACCAATCAGAAAGGATATATGCACTCCTATGTTCATAGCAGCACAATTCACAATAGCTAAGATTTGGAAACAGCCTAAGTGCCCATCAGCAGAGGAATGGATTAGAAAGCTGTGCTACACAATGGAATACTACACTGCGGTAAAAAAGGAGTTCTTACCATTTGCACCAGCATGGATGGAACTGGAGAGCATTATGCTAAGTGAAATAAGCCAGGCAGAGAAAGATAAATATCACATGATCTCACTCATTTATGGAATATAATGAACAACATAAACTGATGAACAGAAACAGATCCAAAGACAGAGAAACATAGATCAGACCATCAAACCTTGGATGTGATTGATAGATTCAACTAGTTTAAAATCAGTAATTTCTGTTCATCAAAAAACATCAATAAGAGAAAGCAAAGACAAGGCACAGATTGGAAGATTTTTGCAGCACATATAACCAATAAAAGCAATTGTAATCATAATATTGTATATAAAGAAATCTTACAAATTAGTGTGAAAAAAGACAGCCCAATCAGAAAAAGGCTTCTCCTTATGCTTCACAAAAGAGAGAAGCAAAACGACCAATAAACAAACAGAAAGGTGTTCAATTTCATTAATAATGAAGGACAGGCAACCTAAACTCACTCCGTGACACCATTAACCAACAGCCACATTACCAAGAATGAGTCTGACAACACCCAGTATTGCTGTAAGAAGTCACCTGGGTCCCCAGGCACTGCCCGTGGGCGTGTACAATGACACAACCGCTTTGGAAAACAGTTTGGAACGATTTGGTGAAATGGAAGGTACACACAGCCCATGGCTCAATCATTTCACTCCAAGGTGGGTGTACAGCTAAAGAAATGCTTGCACATGTGCACGGGGAGCCAGTGCGAGAATGTTTACAGCAGCATTGTCATAATCGCTGAAAACAACCCACTCACCACTTAACAGTAGGCTAGAACGGCAGATCTTGGTAAGCTCACACAATAGGTGCTATCCATAGGATAAATGAATAAATTGCTGCTGTGTACAGTATGGATGAACCTCAGGGACATAATGTGAAGCAATAAAAAGCAAGTACTATAAGGATATATCCAGTATGATTCCACTACAATTTTTTTAAAACATGCAAAATTAGAAATTTCCATTATTTAGGAGTAAAACATATATGGCATTGAACCCCAAGACAGTGCTCACGTAGAATTCAGAACGGCAGTTAACCTGTGAGGTGAGAGGTAAGGCTAGGATAGAGGGGTACACAGGACATGAAAAGGCAATATTCATGTTCTTTTTCTTAAACGAAGAAGGGTTATACACACATATACCAGTTGTATTATTGTTTTAAATATATTTACTAAGTAGTCTTTTTGCTTCTACTTAATATCTAATATCAAATTTAAAAGATTCTAAAATATCATATTTGAAAGCACTGTATCGGTAATAGAAAGAGGAATTCCTACGAATTATTGAGTGATGACCATGCAACGATTACAACGAAGGAAGGCATTGATTGCAACACCTCGAGTGCACTGGCGAAGGCAGCTACAGGCCCTGGGATTCTGGCCTCTCTGGACATGACAGAGGTTTCAGCACCTTGGGTAAGCTTAACAGGGACCAGAAAGTTCTGTCATCCTCAGGCTAAGAGGCTGACTAAGTTGCTTCCAGTTTATTTTATTTATTTATTTTCAAAATATATTTTATTGATTTTTTTACAGAGAGGAAAGGAGAGGGATAGAGCTAGAAACATCGATGAGAGAGAAACATCGACCAGCTGCCTCCTGCACACCCCCCCCACAGGGGATGTGCCTGCAACCAATGTACATGCCCTTGACCGGAATCGAACCTGAGACCCTTCAGTCTGCAGGCTGATGCTCTATCCACTGAGCCAAACCGATTTCGGCAGTTGCTTCCTGTTTAATAGTGGGAACAGTGGGAAGGGGTTCACCTCCACCAGCAGGTGCTGAGCACACGTCCCCTGCACCTCGGCCTGCGGGAGGCATGGCTGAGGGGCCCAACGGCACAGGGCAGCCATGCTCCGGACCCACGGCCTGCTGGAGACGAGGCTGACAGACACGCGGATAACACCGCCCGACAGGGGCCCGCGGGATCGCAGGTAGGCTGCTGCTGAAATGGTTTACCCAGGCTGGGAACAAACCGTGGGGTCGACTGACTACCTCTGGCCCAGCTTTTAATGAAGTCTTCTCGGGAAGAAGTCTCTCATCGCAGAGGAAGAAATACAAATATTTTAAAAGCAAACAAGTCGTGGCTGCTCTCAGACCTGCTGACCTATGCCTTGCTTTTTTTGAGCTTACAGCCTGACATTAAAATAACAGGCTTGCATTCCTCAAATATCTCCGCTGCTGTTCCTCCTCACACTGCCTGCGAGGCTGTCTGTCAGCCGCTGTCACTTGGAGGCATTACCGTATTAGCCACCCGTTTACTGCTTGCCGTGTGCAGTGGCTCTGGGTCTAAGCCCTCCCTGGGAAGGTCCCCAGGCATCTCTGCAGGAGCAGTCTCAGCTCTAACGAAGGCGCTGGGGATGCGAGGCGGGAAGGGGGCTTTATAAATATGGATGAGAAGCGGAATTTAATTGCATTGGGCTGTACTTCACCAGCGGGTAAAGGACGGGAGACTTTTTCAAGTGCTTTCACCACTTAGGGTTCCACGGGCTAACAACCAGCTCCGGCTAAAATCCTAAATATATTCGGTATGCAAAAGAGCAAGCCTGAGACGTGCCAGCAGCAAACACTGCAGCAAAGCCTTTTAGTGCCTCTGCATCAATAGCTGAACCCACAAAAGAAATCTCCAGACGGAGGTTTCCTGGATTATAATGAGAACTCTCTGGATGGGGAGAGGTGCTCTTCTCGCTTGGAGACAAAGAGGTGTTTGTAATGGAAATGTGTGCACCGTGTTCCGAGGGGAGCTGCAGAAACTGATTAAAACACAGTGAGGTGATGAGGCAGAGAAATCAAGCCAAAGGCGATCGCTTAAAATGTGGGCCTGCACTTATTTCTGAAAGTGGGGAGAGCCAGCCCGGCCACCAGCTCCATTTCTTTTCGCCCCCACATCCTCCCCATCTCCCCCCCGCCCCATCACTGCCCCCGCCTCTTAGACAGCTAAGGGCTGTGCACTGTCTCTGGCCACTGTGCACCTGCTACTGAGCTACCCCCCTGAAGAAAAGGTAGGAGCCGAGGAGCCAAAGACAAAGCCCTGCTCAGCAAAGCCTCGGTGACAAGCCTGGGTTCAGGGATTCCATGGAAACGTGACGATGATAAGCAGATAATTCAAGCGTCTAGCAGTCTATAACGACAGTTCTTAGGTGATGTATAAATATGGACCGATTTGAGGAGTTCAGTTTCCTAGTGAATAAAACCGAGGCATCTTGTCTGAAGTTCTGACATATAACCATCACCTGACACCTGGGCAGGGAGACCCTGGCGTTAACGCAGGACAGACGAGCCCTGAAGCTGTAGCTCCCGCGGTCCAGTCGCTGCGGTTCGTCCAGTACAGTGTTTGCCACACCCAGGGGTGCCTGCCGGTGTTTGCTTAACATTTGTATTGAAAGTGACTTTAAAGCAACTCATTACAAAACTTTCTTAGCCTCCCTCCGAGCGACCATTTCCCTGAAGTCGCACTTTGATAGGCGGTAATATTTTTCTAATGGGCATTTAGGATTGCATAACCATTAAAATAAAAAACGTTCATCCACAGCCCATCTGAAATCCCCTCCTGTGCCCAAGGGTACACGATGGGAAAAACAGATAAAGTATTTTAACTAAATAAGGATGACCTAACGGACTGCTGTTGACCCTAGAGCAATACGGGTTTGAACTGTGTGGGTCCACTTACATGTGGACTTTTTTTTCGATAAATCCTGTAAATGTATTTCCTCTTCCTTATGATTTTCTTAATAACATCCTCTTTTATTATAGAGTGACGTATACTGGATACCTGTACCATACAAAATGTGCTAACCCACTGTGTATGTGTAGTGGTCAGGCTTCCATCAGCAGTAGGCAGTCAAGGTTCTGGGGCGTTGAAGCTCTCCCCAGACCGTCCACCGTGCGGGGGGTCGGCACCCCTTAGCCCTTGTGTTAGGGATCAGTAATATATGTGTTTCTAAATATTGTGGGGGGAAAGGAGGAAAAGGAGTTTTGTACTATTTACTCTCAGGATGCCCACGAAGAAGTTAGATTACAGAGAAGGGAGCTGGAAGAAGTAAATGCAATAGCTTTTGCATGGAAAACGCAAGCTCAGGGCCACTCACAGAAAGTTCTCGGGGTACTCGCTCAGGGCCATGTCCACGATGCTCAGCGCGTCGTGGGAATGCTTCTGTGCCGACAGCAGGAGGGCGAGCAGGTGCAGTGAGTTGACATCATCGCCTTGAAGCTGAAGAGCCTGGCGGACATACCCCAGAGCCTCCGGTATCTGGTTAGAACAAAACCAACAGGAATTTTTAAACACACATGGGTGCGCACAAGTACACAGGCAAGCGTGTGCATGCATATGCATGCACACACACACACACACACACACACACACGAAGCCATCTTTCTGAAAGCACATAAACAGCTTTCATATTAGAGATATTACCTACAAACACGAAAACAAGACACTCTCTTCAAGCAATAGTCTAAGTAATACTGTTTCTGCCAGTAACCAATCTTTCATTTTTCCCTAAGTAAATACTTTCTCTTTTTCTGCAGAACTGACCTTTGGATCATGCTAAAGATAATTTCACTACATGGAGGCACATACCAATTGCCAGAGGTTTTTATTGGAATTAAACAGCCTTAACTGAACTGTTCTCGTTTTTTTAAAGTATTACTAAAATAAAAGTGCTAAAGTCACGAACTTTATAACGGCTTTCTAAATGAACAGACACTTGTGATTCCTGCCAAGTTCCTTTGTCCTGGTTCTCCATCAGGGAAATATATAAAAACACACACAAACCCTCTCCCTGCCACCTTCCCAAACCACAACCCAAAGACCCTGATCCAAGAAACAAATGGCAGTGCCACGTTCAATGCCACGTTCAAACTCAAATGGGACCGGACACAATCTTGACCTTAAAATGCAACAGCTGTTTAAGACTTGCTTCAAAATCGTCCAAGCACGATGGCTGATAAAATGCACAGATAAATACTGAACACCCTAACTCAGTGGTCGGCAAACTCATGAGTCCACAGAGCCAAATATCAACAGTATAACGATTGAAATTTCTTTTGAGAGCCAAATTTTTTAAACTTAAACTGCTTGTAACGCCACTTCTTCAAAATAGACTTGCCCAGGCCATGGAATTTTGAGGAAGAGCCAAACTCAAGGAGCCAAAGAGCTGAATGTGGCTCGAGAGCCGCAGTTTGCCAACCACGGCCCTAGATTCCATGCCGGTTTAGCAGTCCCTGGGGAGAATGAGAGCCTGAAGCTTTCTCCACGGCTGGCCTGGGGCCCCTCCGGTCTCCCCTCCCAACGTCAGTCCCTGACTGGACCCCTCTCAGCGCTCCTGCTTCTTCCCAAACTTTCAGAAACCTCACTCCTTAGTAGGAAGCCACAACTTTTTTCCCCCCAAATCTGAAATTTCATTTTGATGAATTTGATTACAAGTGCTGGCTCCAGAGTCATGGCTAATAGAGCTGGAAGGGGGACCATCTGCCAACCCATCATTTACGGGAGAAGCTGAGTCCAGGGGTCAAACGACTTGAGCAGGTCACCCAGCTGTTGAACTTCTGGGACGAGAGTGGCGCTAGATCTTCGGATTCCCCTCCCACCCTCTCCCCCTACTCAAAGGGCACTGGCTCTGAAGAGAACAGGCCACAAGTCCCCTGCCCACGGTCAGCAGGAAACTCAGCTGCCGGAGTCTGGGGTTGTCACGCTGTGTGCTCACAAAGGCTCTGTGACCCTGTCCATCCCCCAGGTGAGAACTGACGGCGTGAACAGCGCCCAGCCAGCGCCATGGGGAGGGTCGGCAGGCGGGGCGTCAATGTGTGTCTGCCCGAAGCGGCCAGGGAGGACTGACACAGGGTTCACCAGGGCAGCCTGCAGGGACAGCTGGCTTGAGGGAATGCAAGGCTGGCTCCTTCATTCAGCGAGTGCTCCCGAGTGCCTGCCACCTGCCAGGTAGCGTCCCAGCTGCCGGGGCACAGCGGTGACGATGGCAGCCACAGTTCCTGCCCGCATGGAGCCTCCCATCAGTAGGGAGAGACACCGAACAGGAGAGCTGAGCAAGAGGAAGGGCAATGCAGGCTGCTGCAGGCAGGAGGCTTCATGGGGGAGGGGAGAGAAGGTCCTGGGGGGAGGAGGGTAGAGGCCAGGTGGCCGTCACGGGCCTGCAGCTGTGAGCCACGCCATGCCAGGTGTGAGGACCTCAGTTTCCAAAGTCCCCAGGTCGCCAAAGGGAGCTGCCTCTCCGGGAAGTCAGATGCATGCCTACAGCCGGCCTGCCAGGGGAATGGCACGTCTGGGGAACTGACCTTTAGCTCACCCTCCAGTCAGCTCTCTGGAATGTGCTGGGGTTACCACCAGTGTCTTGCACCTGGTGGGCAGGCAGGCATGTGGCCAGAGTCTCCAGAGCAGCTGGGAGGGGACAGGAAGGGACGAGAAGGCAAAGGCGGCTTCTGGAGACTGCCACAGGGAGGGTGAAGGCCAGTGAAGCTGTCCTTCCACCGAGGACACTGCTGACATTCCTACTCCAGGAGTCACCGGGTGTAATGTTCAGACCTCCAAGTATTTGAAAGGAACCGGCTGGTGCTTCTGTCTATGCCTACCAGCATCATCCATCATTGATAGCTAATGGCAACCAGGCCCCACCCTAAATCTCCACTCTGCTGAAAGCTCAGCACGGGCTCTGCTGGCAAGTCACATGGGCTCTTCGATGATCCCTGGGTTTAGGGCGTCTGCCACGTGCTGCGTCCACGTTGCCACCCGACCCCAGGCCGGGCCCTGCAGGTCTATGGACTAAAGTTCCTATAGCAGAGCTTGGCCTGTGTCTGTGCAGCTGATGCTCAGATGGACCGGAGCACTGGGTCTGCGCTGTGCGGGGGAGGGCCCCGGTCCAGGTCAGCCTGGGGTGGAGGACCAGCTACCAACTCGAGCTGAGGCACTGAAGGAACCGCATCAAGACAGAGCGTGCACCCAGTTTAGGAACATTCAAGAAACTGACCTGTCTGGAGATGGCGAGCTGCAGAGCGAGGTAGAAAGCTGCTTGGTGATCTGTAGGCGACAGGCTGTGGGCCCTGAAAAAGTATTTACGGCTGTTAGTACCTGGGAGAGGCCATTCTACTTCCCTATCCAACAAGAAGCCACATTTGCATTTTTATCATTTGCATTTTTATACCAAGACCCCATATTTAACCATTGGATGTCTCATTTAAACAAAAGTTTACTAACAAATGGGCTGTGTGTCCCCTTTTCTGTGTACAGGAATGCTGGTGGCCTGCTTTGTGCTTGGTCCACCTCAGAAGCGGCAGCCTGACCCTGGGCTCTGAGGAGCAGCTGGAGGTGCAGAATCCGCAGGCCCTGAGCTCTGACCCTCACCGTCATGCTGGGACACGGCGGGGCCATGGGTGTCCTGGACAAGGCAGCTGGGCTTTGGTTGAGTTTGGGCTTGGCCTTAACGCTACTTTCACCCAAATTTCTGGATTTCAGAGAAACCATACAAAAATCAAGACCCAGCTTTGCTGGTAAAATGAGGTTCCGGTTTTTGATGAACTAACTCTAGGAGAGAAGGAGGAGACTCGTTCAGCCTTCCAAATCTACCAAGCTCCACGCAGCTTGATAGTTTTGTCCACACAAGTCTGACATGAAAAACTACACAATGGGCTTAGGGTTACTGACTGGCCTTTGACACCAGCTGTGAAGAGCTGTACTGGACTCCTAACTGCTAACATGGTCATTCTTGCTCTTATGTGGGAGTCAATCATATTTCACCATGAGCAACTTAAAATGGGGCTGTCTACGAGACACCCTCTCCGCTGAACAGTCTGGAGGGAAGAGAAAACCAACTTTACTTTCTTTAAAAGGCACGATGGAGCAGACCGATGAAAAAACGGTGGGGCCTGATGATAAACAGACTTCCATCCTATTCTGTCAACGTTCTGTGATTAAAGGAGGGTCATCTAGGGACAGAAAACAAATTCAGGATAAAAAAGGAAGCCGTATCCCAGGCAAACACATTAGGGATGGCTTCACGCAGTAGTAAGGCCTTTTCATGGAACTGTCCAGCTACTGTGGGGAACAAGACTAAGACGTCTTCCAGGCGTTTGCCTTCCAGAAAATACGCTGAGTCCAACAATTTGGGCCATTGTTTGGGCAAATTAGGCAGCTCCTGTGAGGACTGGGGGTTGGGGGAGAGTTAGAGGAGTCTGTCCTTCTATTGCTCTTAAATCCCCACCCTGGTTACTTCACCAGGAACTGTGCCTAGGACTCTCCTCACCGTAGGGTAACAGGTATTTGCCTGTGTTGCCCCTTTAAATCTCTTGCTTCTACCACTATGCTCCAGTTTTTATTATTTCGTAAGTATTGGTTTTCCCATGAATTTGTACACGGCTGCTGCTTCAGAGGTGGACTGAACACAAAACAGGCCACTATCATTTCTATGCACAGAAAAGGGGGAGAGAACCTTTTTCTTTGGTGTCCATGAGAAATGAGATCGGGACGTCACGGTTTCTGTCTCTCTCAATTATTCAGGGGAAGCTAATACAAAGTGAGTTATGAAGAGACAATGAATTATTGAGCATTCTTTATTTTATTTCACTTCTTTCCTAATGAATAAAAAGCCAGGTTTCTACAACCCTCGGCAAGAACCCCTCCGAGCTATCATTTTCTCGGCCCAGGTTAGGGTCTTCGAAGGTGAAGTTAGATCAGATCAGGATTGCCTCCACCCAACACCACCCACGTGAGGAGCTGCCATGGTCTGGGGGCTCTGGGGATTGGGTGAGGACAGTTCTGACAGGAGCCCCGCCCTGGCCTCATCAGTGACCACGCACTGTGAGCCACTTGCAGTGACAAAAACAACCAGACGTGCCAGGGGTCTCGGCGTTTCTGGGAAGATTGGGGCAGCAGCTGAAGAACTGCAAACCTGGCTGATGATGGATATCCAACTGCCAATTTCTCACAACTTAACATACACATTTTAAACGTCTTACTTTTATACTTGGGCTAATGAGTTAAACTGACTACTTTAGTCCAGGAAAGAAAAAAGAAAATAAGGAGAATGCTCAACAAAAGAAGAATCAGTGTATGGTGTTGATCTCAGGACAAACTAGAGTGCTTGCTTCGGTCACACAGAGCAACTGGGCAGCTACATTCCCTGTGACACACCCAGAGACAACCTGCTCGACAGATGTCGTCAGGCCACGCAGGTAAGAGGAAAGACATTCGTGTTCCTGACAACTGGAACCTTGCTGAATGCTGCACGTGAATACAAAGCAGCCCCACAAACCCCATTCTCATACAGCAGCATCTGAGATGTTAGGAGAAACCCAGACATCTAAAATGTCACCACAGCATGCTCACAAAGAGTGTCCCTTGTCAAAGCAACTTCATGCCCATTAACTTAATGTATTTTCCATAAAAAAGAATTATTAGACTTATGAGTCACCAGGCCACCTGTCTATCTATCCATCCACTCATTTATTCATCCATCCACTCATCTTTTCATCATTCAATCCATCATTCATCCTTCCATCTATCCACTCATCTATTCATCCATGCATCCACCCATCTATTCATCAATCCATCCATCCATCCATCCACTCATCTATCCACTCATCTATTCATCATTCCATCCATCATCCATCCATCCATCCATCCACTCATCTATTTTTCAATCCATCCATCATCCATCCACCCACTCATCTATTCATTTATCTATCTATCTATCTATCTAGCCATCCATCCATCCTCATCCATCCATCTATCCATCCATCCATTCATCCATCTATCAATTCATCCATTCACCCACCCACCCACATTATTTAGGAGCAATGTGGTGCCAGGCCTGTGCCAGCCTCTGGGGAGTCTGGAGATGAACCAGGCACCAGCCTGGAGAAGGGAGAACATCCCTTCTCCCCTAGAATCAGGGATACCCAAAGTGACCCTTACAGTACAGTGGGAGCAGGGCCCCCAGAGAGGCATGCCAGCCTGCCGCTGGAGAGCATGGATGGGCCCCCAAGATCACCTGTCTAGAACCCAGGACACTGTGAGGTCCACCAGTGCTCTCCTAGCCTCTGATTCCAACATGTTCTAGAACCAAGAATGTAGAAAAGGCTGAACAAGTTTGACCCTGGTCATTAATATATATACACTTTATAACAATAATAACTACAATGTATGAATAATCTACTTTTAAGCACCTGGTCCAAAAGTATCCAGCAAAAGAGCTAGAGTAGAAGTGAAATCCTGAGGCCTGCTCTCTCCCCCATATCACCCTGCTGCCTTGTCCAGTCAAGTCTCCTCAAAGTCTCCTTCTGTCCAGATTGAAATGGACCTGTGATCAGTGTATTTATTATTCAGTTAAGGGGGGGAAAGTACACACCTGGTTAAATTTATCACTCAGAAACCTCCCATTACTGACACACACAGGATGACCAACTTGTCCTGGTTTTCCCTGGTTTGAGCACTCAAAGCCCCAAGTTCCGGGATGCTACTCACTTCCCGAAAAACTAGGATGGTCACTCATTCCATACACACAAACTATACCACAAGCAAACTTAACTTACGCCAGGAGGGGGAGAGAACCATAACGTGAGATTGTGTTTCACACTGAGTGACAAACACGACCAACACCACATGGAGCAGCCCATTTCTGCACGTGGGGTCCAGTCTCTGCCCCATGCCCCCAGCTTTGCAGACAACGTGGTCTTGTTCACTGTACCTCTGTACGGGCCAAATGAATTGGCCCAGCTGCTGGGGCTGAGCTTCTGGATGTACAAACAGTTGAGGATGTACAAATCAATATTAAGATGCAGACATGCAAGTGGGAGGCCTTCAAAAACCACCTTTTTAATCTCCCCGACAGCAAATCTTTCTGAATTCTGACTCCAGGCCTAACTAAGAGCTAATATTTACAATGTTATACCTACAACCCCACCCCTTTTTGAGTTATATTTTTTTTCTTTTTAAACAAAAATTGCCAAATAATAGGAGAAACCCAGTATCATTGGCAGAGGATTTAAATATATATATATATTTTAAAAAGTACTTCTCATCCAAGTGGTTTTTAAATATCCATTCATATTTAAGAAGGAATACAAATCATTCATATTTACTTAAAATCTTTCCTTACAGATTGTCAGGCCTACAGTGTACTAGATTAGCCCTCATTAAACAAAATAATTTATTTCCTTGAAAATTATTCTTCATTTCACCCAAATACTAATTTAGACTAGCCTTTGCCAATAAATCCATGGTTTAATAGAGTTTTATTGCTCTTTATTTCTGCATGAACTAATATTTTACAAAATCTCTTTGACTTGAAACCTAAGTGAAAGGAACAAGAAGAAGGAAAAGCTGCGACCTAACATGAAGTTACGAATTGTGGCGGCTCCGACAGACCCCCGCCCACCCCCCCCCCCCACCCCCCGGCCTGCTTTTAGAGAGCCAAGGAGATGTGCTGACTTGAGAAAAGGGAAACAGATGTAATGGCCACTCTCTGAGGCATTAGTGTGTTTTACAAGCTAGAACTGGAAAAGTTAAAACTCCCAATGGTGTGAAATGGAAAGGCTTCCCACACCCCATGCTGAGGAACGTCAACAGAAGCTCAGCACAGACCCAGAGCTGGTGCAGGTGTCAGTCCGGACTGTTTGTCATTGACCAGCCTGGGACGGGCCAGAGGAAGGCACAATCGGCAGGTCTGGCAGGAAACAGAAGTCAGATGCAAGATTTCGGACTAACGGAAACCAAGTACTAAGGATTTCACGAAGAAAGGGGCGTGAACATTGTGAGAAATCCGTAGGCAACCCCAGTTCTGGGAAAGAAATCTAGCAAAGGGTACTAGTGACTCAGGTCCTCATGAACTTTTGATGCAAGTAACGAAGTTTCTAATATGATTCCAAGAAAGCAATGTAACTCAGATGTAGTTAACGTGAGAGGATCAATAGCAATTATAGATTTGCCATCAGGCAGCTTTACTTTCAAGCAATGATTCATTTGAATGATTTATTATAGCTGCGATAAGAATAAAATCAGGGCAGTGAAGTACAGTAGGTACCAGAAGAAGTGCGTTGGAGTCAGGAGATGATGGTTCTATCAAAGGCAAAGTGGCTCTCTAATTCCCCACTCCTGCATGCGAGTCCCTCACCTGCAGTGAAAATCCTGCTTGTCCTGTCTTCCTTCCTGGCGTGGGTGAGGACGAGGTGAAATGATGGATGTGGGAGAACACGTGCTAATCACTAATGTAAAGCATCTTCCGAATTTCACGGAAGGCACAGAGATGGAGACTGCACAGGTATGATGGAGCCAGGCGGGGCTGGAGGCGACTTGACTGTCTTCACCAAGTATTTCAGAGACTGTCCTAAAACCTGACTTGTTCATTTCTTAATATAAAAAATCTGCAGCTTCACAGGCAATAAAAAAAAAAAAAAAAGCTGGGAAAGAATGATCCCTTTTCTAGATGGTGACAAATGTCTTTAATAAAAGGAACCATCTCCCTACACATACAGAGTATCTGTCATCCCGGAGCTGAGCTGGCTGTGTTAGGAAGGAATAAAGTGTGCCCGAAGGATGACGGATGGGCAGATGAGAATGCAGATCTACGTGGTAACAAATGATGCGGCGAGCTTCTACGCCGGGTGTTCGGCGCTCGAGGGGAAAGACTGGGGGGGGGGGGGGGGAGAGACACTGTTTACATAATCTTTATAAATATCTCTCCCTTTTATACTCCTCACGCTGTGGTGCCATCGTGTACAGCGAGTGAAAGGAGGAGCTCCCACTCACCTCTGAAACGCGAGCAGCGCCTTTCTCTGCAGGACCTCCTGCATGCCTCGCAGCGAAGCTGGAAAGGGTTCGGTCCGTCAGTGGCATGTTTCGGACAAATACAAAGCTCATCACAGAAACCACACATTCCTTTGGGTTGTGAGCAACACGGTCTGGGTGGGCGTGCGCTCAGTGCTCCCCGGGCGCTGCGGGAGACGGGCCACGGAGCCCGGGCCAGCCCGGGACCTCTGCACTCGTGGGTGTGACTGGGCACGATGCCGAGGGGACAGCGCCAGGCGAGGGTCACTCTTGGCGCCCCGGGCAGAGGGGGCCAGCAGGGAACTGCAGAGAGGAGCCCGGCTGTTGCCTCCAGTGCAGGCACGCAACTGGGTGAAGCCTGGCTCTCCCGGGAGGCAGAGCAGAGCATCAGGCACAGCCTTCAGAGGGCCTCTGGCACCGAGCAGCTCTGGTCCTGGGCCAGGAGAGGCCAGTTTAATTCATTAAACTGTGCGATGGCCGGGACTGTTACCACCTTGATACGAACACAAGGGACTGACCCGACCCGCCCAGCACTGAGCTGGGAAAATCAGTTTACAGGTGATGCCGGCCAGCGTAGCTCCGTGGTTGAGCATCGACCTATGAACCAGGGGCCACAGTTTGATTCCCGTTCAGGGCATGCGCCTAGGTTGCAAACTCCATCCCCAATGTGGGGTGTGCAGGAGGCAGCCAATCAATGATTCTCTCTCATCATTGATGTTTCTCTCTCTCCCACTCTCCCTCCCTCTCTAAAATCAATGAAAAAATATAATAAAAAAAGAAAGAAAGAAAGAAAGCACGCACGCACGGACAAAGGGCAGGTCCTGACCAATCAAGGGAAGCTTCCTGGAAGAGGCTGGCCCCGAACTGTCCTATATTCCTGTGCCTAAGACCCCACATATCTTCACGGGTGGACCGCCCAGCCAAGTGCTGGGGCAGAGGCAGGCCCAGGCTGGGTGGGATGAATCAGCAGGTTCCCTGTGCCCACCACCCAGTGCCCCTTCCCTCCCCACATCCAAGCAGCACAAGCGCCGAGGACCAGAGCAGCAGGGCCCCACGGGCGGCACGTAGGCCGGCCCAGCTTATGCGCCTGTGGGGTGGGGCTTCTCTCACCGTCAGTGGCCTGCAGGCTGTACGTGAGCCCCAGAGCTAAGTAGCCTTTGGCCTTGAACTCGGACGTTTTCTCTCCCGCATCAACGACGATTTTGGCAAACTTCTCAGCCTCTTCCAACTGAAAAGCAAGACACGTTAAGAAAATGACAACCTGCAGAATCTCCAACACGAGTTACCAGAAGCATCGGCTGCCAAGAACAGATTTCTGATGAGTCACCGTGAAAATGACTCCCAAACCTTCCAAGTCCACAGTGGCAATTCAGGCTGTATCTGAGCTCTCTGACAGTCCTGAGGACCCCGCCTCGCCTTTCCCCGCTAAGGTTTTCCTACTGATCTCTGCCTTCTTTTCCACGGTCACTCTCCTCCTCGGTGGGCCCCTCTCCTTTCCACCTTTCCTCTCCTTTTCACTGACTGGCTCTGCGAGAGCTTGTGCAAGGTGCTCAGAAGTTGAATTTTATATACAGCGGTGGCAAAAGCAGCGAGTGTGCGAAACAGTTTATTCTTGCATTATTACTTATGAATTATTGCATTATTTGTATTACAACTGTACACCAGCATTGCCTACCCATACAAAAATGTTTTGTGTTTGGGTCTTACCTTATTATTTAAAAAAAAAACCAAAACAAAAACATAATGAATCCATTGAAGCTTGGTTTCTCTTTCTTATAAGCCATTAAAAATGCCAAAACGGCATCTATTTATTCTGTGCCGCACAGCACACGGACCTGGCACCTGTAAGCTGCACCCAAAATGAGACCTTCACATAGTATATTAGAGGCAGATAGTAAGGTCTGTTCCTTCGAACTACGGCGAATGTGGATGCTATTGAGGTTGGGGGACAGTACGTGGCAGTTCTAATAATAAAAATGGAAAAAATATAAACAGAAAAGATTTGTAACTCTTATCTTAAAAAAAAAAAAAAAGGGGAGGTAGGCTTCCTTTAGGCGTTGGAGACGTGTGTATCAGCAATGAGCAATGTCACGCTGCAGGGAGGGCCGCGGTCACGGCTGGGGGTTCAAGTTGTCAAACAGAGGGGCTGGGTCCACTCCTGCACCCACTCCTGTTCCCCCTCCTGCGCCTACCCTGCCGCTGCCCACCCCAGCCCCGCACCGCGGCCCCACTTGTCCAAACCTGCCCAGACCTTCACAGCTCTCTGTTTCTGGCGAGAGCCTGCTCTTTCAAAATGTCTTTCCCTCCCACGTTTTACCAAATAAAACGTAACCAAGGTAGAACACTCTCTTCACAAGGCTCACTTTGCCCTGTTGGGTGAGAATAAATGGGGGTGGGTGACTGGGGGTGGGGGAGACACATGCACATGGACCATGAGGTAAAAACCTTAGCAGGTCTCCCCAGTCTCCTTGGGGAAGTTCTTCTTATCACTTATCTGTTATTTTATCTGTTTTTTGTTTCTCCTCACCTAACATATTTTTTCCACTGCTTTTCAGAGAGTGGGAGAGAGGGATGGAGAGAGAGAGAGGGATAGAGAGGGTTGGAGAGAGAGAGAGAGAGAAAGAGAAAGAGAGAGAGAGAGAGAGAGAGAGAGAGACATCGACGCAAGAGACATATCGACTGGTTATCTCCTACACGTGCCCCCAGTGCGGAGTGAACCTGCAACCCAGGTATGTGCCCTTGAACCTGAGACCTTCTGGTGGGAGGGCAGAGGCTCTGGCCAGGGCTTCTTATCACTAATCTTAATAAGCAAAGAAAAGACAGTAAAACTGCAGTGACCACCATCTCAGCAGCCAGTCTGAGCTTTCTACTGAAATGACAGGTTTTGGAGGGACTAAAACTGTCACAAATCATACTATCCCCCAATCCTAATCTGAACCCAAGTATCTGAAGAGGGGAGTGGTGAGAAGGCAGAGGAGAGAAGGAAGTTGGGTTCAGCCTGTCCGGTGTGGCTCAGCTGCTGAGCCTCGTCCCCTGCACCGGGAGATCCCCGGTTCGACCAATTCCCTATCAGGGCACAGGCCTGGGTGGTGGGCTCGTCCCCAGTCGGGGGTGTGCAGGAGGCAGCTGGCCCAGGTTTCTCTCTCACAGATATTTCTAGCTCTCTCTCCCTCCCCCTCCCGCTCTTCAGTCCTACGTTAGCTTCCACTGCCAGATGTACCTGAGCATGAATGCCCACTCCATCATTTCTACTTTTCAAGCACATTCCCATGAAAAAGAAAAAAAAAAACAACTGGAGTCCCTCGGGAACATGCCGATTCCCCACAGTCCAGGGGGTAAGAGAGGGTAGGAGCGCGGGTGGATGGAGAGGCCAGAGGAGCCGGGCCTGGGGCCCTGAGCAGCCTGTGTGTGTGCAGCGGGGAGTCACTGTGCCTTCCCCTCTGAGCCTGGAGATGCCGCTGCCAGCCCTGCCCCGGCGGCCAGCACTCACCCAGTGCAGGGAGCCCATGCACAGCTTGGCGGCCAGCAGCGGGATGGTGGCGTCGTCGGGCTTCAGCCGGATGCACTCCTTCAGCACCTTCACAGCCCGGGCGGACTGGAAAGGAGAGTATTTCTGTGAAACTCGGAATGTTCGGTTAGCTGTCCTGTTAACGCGGTTTTCCAAGAGGAGCCCAACCCCGCAAGGACCAGGATGGCACCAGCCAGGACGTGTGGCCCCTGAGTGACAGGGGTGTAAACTGGGGTGAAACCCTCAGAAAGGCTTCCCTGGAGTCACCCTCATTTTCTTCCTTCCTGGTGGTGTTATAAAAACTAAGCTGTTTATAGCATACCATCCTAAAAATCTGTTTCCACCCGGCCCAAGGAATCTTATGTCACAGACTGAACCATTCGGTAAATGGCAGATTCATTAAATGGCCCAAATTAATTCCCTTTATTGAGTACGTCCCATGTGGGGGTACTGTCCTACGCACCTGGTGGGTCTTATCTCATTTGCCCAATGACCACTCTGGAAGTAGGCCCTATTTTTACCACATTTTACTGGAAAGGGAAGACGGTGACCTGGTCACACAGCCCAGCCCTCAGCTCTGGCACTTGGGCTCCAAAGCCGACGTTTTCAACCACTGGTCGGCAAACTCGTTAGTCAGCAGAGCCAAATATCAACAGGACACGATTGACATTTCTTTTAAAAGCCACATTTTTTAAACTTAGACTTCTTCTAACGCCACTTCTTCAAAATGGACTCGCCCAGGCCGTGGTATTTTGTGGGAGAGCCGTACTCAAGGGGCCAAAGAGCTGCATGTGGCTCGAGATCTGCAGTTTGCCGACCACTGTTTTCAAGTAACATCAGACACATCCTGATGTAACAAACTGCCACAGAGCTTCCCCTGCGGGAATCAGTGTCTGCTCCCAGATGAGGGAGAGGGATAGTGGGGAGACAGGTGAAGAAGCCAGCCTCAGTTCAAGCCACATCGTCACAGGACGGAGTTACAACGGCTAGAAAGAGGCAAATATTTCAGAATTCTTCTCAGTGATGTGTCCGTGTTGGCCCCCAAATAATTAACCCCGGCTGTTCATTTACAAACAACCGCGGGGCAGTCCCCTGTGGCTGGGTTTCCCGTGAGGGAGGCCACCGCCCCGGGACTGGAAGGCACCGCGCGTGGACGCGGAGGACCGCACGCGGGAGGGGGACTCACTTTTCCGGCCGCCATGAGCGACAGAGCGAACTGGTACCAGAGGTGGAACTCCTCGAAGGCGAACTTCATGGCTCTCTCTAAGCACTGGGGGGAGAGCAGATGCAGACACGTGAGCCGGGCCGCCCCACACGCCACGTGAAGTCTGGGTCTCCGCGAGCTGCGGTGAGACCTACAGCTTCTGCTTTCCCTGAATGCTGGAAACACAGTCTCTGACCGAAGCCCACAGGGCAGCAGGCACTGGGCCAGACGCCAAGACAACCCACCACCACCGAGAGCACAAGCCTGGTCTCAGGGAGTTTTCCCTCCTTGGCGGGGAAAGAGGCAGGGGCGCCGACAGCTCCAGCACAAGGCCCCGCCTGGCAGTGGGCGAGATGGGAAGTGGGGGGAGACCTAGCCAGGAAGGGGCGGTGGGAGCTGGGGGTAAAGGGGGAGACAGGTGCTATGGAGAGAACACCAAGCAGTGAAAAGCTGACAGTACTTAGAAACTGATTCAGCGAAGGGGGCAGAAACGATGGAGGAGGAAACAAGAATAACAAGAATCACAACGGCTGAGGGTGGGCAAAGGAGCCGGTATGTGGAGAGAAAGGGTCGATGACGATAACACATAAGGCGTGTCCTTCCAGCTCCTGCTACGAGGAGTGATAAACACCCGTTGGTTTCCGGATGAAGAAAGGAGTGCAGCGGCTGACACTATCTGTTCTGAACCCAAAGCGAGATGCTGCAACCTCATGGACCAGACTGCTTGTTTTCGTGTCTGTAACACGTGGTGTGGACTGAATGCTGTGACCTCCCCCAGCCCCCAATTTGTATGTTGAAACCTCACTCCCATAGACGGTGCCAGAAGGTGGGGGCTTTGGAAGGTGACTGAGTCATGGGGGCAGAGCCTCAGGAATAGGATCCGTGTCCTTATAAAAGAGGAGAGGCCCCCCTCGCCCCGCCCCATGTGAGCCCGCAGCGAGACGCTGGCAGCCTGCCACCCAGAAGTGGGCCTTCGCCAGACATCAAACCTGCTGGAGCCATGATCGCGGTTCCAGCTCCAGGACCGGGAGAAATAAGCACTTGTTTATAAGCCTCTCGGTCTGTGTGTTTTGTTGTAGCAGCCCGCACGGACTAAGACAGCTTTTTTGATAACATGGGCGATGGACCAGGATCCATTCCAGCTGCTCCCCCAGAGCTGCCTCATTTGGCCGTGCTGACCCCACGAGGTCCAGGCGGTACCTGCTGTCCCGCCGCTCACAGACGAGGAAGCCGGAGCAGACTGCTGCCTGCCATGTGAGGCCCCGTGGGTTCCGGTGGAGCCAGGATCTGAACCAGGCGGCTCTCAGCACCGCACTCCGCTGCTCCACTCATGCCCGCTCATGCTGCCCAGAGCAGGATTCGGCTAACGGAAAGGCCCCCAAAATGCCAGAGGGTGCCGGACTAGTTCTGCGATCCAGCAAGATCTCTTACTGTTAACGGGGCATTGCTCCCTTGGCCTTTTGGGGACCCTTGAGGCTTCTGAGGACTTTCCAGCTTGCAGAAAATTCAAGAAGCCTCAGATCCCACAACACCCACCGGCACCACCGCATGAGGATGCGTGAGTCCTGAGTCTCGTGTTTGCTCACGTTCACTGCCCAATCTTTCACAGGGCCTCTTTCTTATAACCATAACCACTGACAGCCCACAGCAAGCCACCGGGTTTCACTCAGGGAGTTCGGGGATAAAGCCCACGATGATGAACTGGCCCCTCACCCTAACTCAGAGGGGTCTGGGCTCTGGCACCACCAATCTTTCCTCCTGTGGGCTCCTGGCACCGTATGTACGGTCACGCGCTGCCTGAGAAAGCACCAGGCAGATGCTCCTGGAGTCTCCATGCCAAGCGCACCGCTTGGTATGTAACCTGCCCTCCCCAGGTCCCTGCAGAGGTCCCGGTTACATAACTCCCCACGTGGCGCAGGGGAATGCCTCCAGGAAAACCGAGGACTCGGGCGGTCACGGGCCATTTGCCATCCACCACATCCGCCCCCTGGAAGGGGTGTCTGCTCACCCCAATTCTCTTTGTCTCCCCCCATTCAGCACCTTAGTCATGTCTCTGTGTGATCAAGTAAACATGCCCAGTTTTAATAGAGCGAGGGGATTGGGAACAGGATGTATACCATAAAAGCAACATAAGAGCATTCACATTTTAATGATGGTCCCAGTCTAAAAGAAACACTGATGAAATGGACTGTGAAGACACAGGTGCTAAAACCTATATCATCCTATTGAACAATGCCACCCCAGTAAATTCAATAAAAAGAAAGAGGGGAAAAAAGGAGACACAGGAGTTTTGTGCATGTTGGGGGCCTTTAAGAGGTTGTTGAATCCCCCCAGGCCCAGCGGGCTGATGGCCGGGAGGGGACAGAGGAGGCAGACACGGGGCGAGGACAGCAGTCGCAGGGCATTGGGGCCACACTTAACCCAAACTCCTTACCCCAGCCACAGGGTGGTGATGGGGCTATGAGAAGTGACGTTTTAAATGCATGTGGAATGCTTAGAAGACCATCTGGCACAGAATGAATGCTACAAACACGTCACTGGTGATGTCGCTGTTACGAAACAAAGACGTAGCAGATCCTGTGGGCCTGGGGGTTCTACATGAAGGGGGAATGCAGGGGAGAGAGGGGAGCTCTGGGCAGGGGGCAGGGGATGGCGAGGGGAGGTGCTCTGGAGCCTCTGAGTGGAAAGGAGAGTTGACAGAAGACGCTGGCCCTTCACTTCCGGTGTCCAGTGAAGAGTGAGCGTGTGGGCCTGGGAGAGGGATCCGAGGTCCTCTCAGGGCCTGCGGACCCCCGAGTCACCCACACAGAACAGCAAGGGGCGTTTCCAAATCATCCCCGTACCAGAAGCGAAGGTGGATTTGGCAGGAGGATTATTCCTACCAGGAAAGACAGGCCTGTCCGCTGTAATCACCATACTACCGCCATCCCTCCAAAGCCCAGACCACATTCATGTGATGCCGCGAATACTTGGTAGAACAAGACTCAGGCTCTGAATGGCATCCTAATCATCTGAGTGGTGGTGAAACTGTCCCTTGCAAAAACGTTTCCTGTGGTCGCAGAGGCGGGCCCCTTCCCGGCTGTCACTGCGGCTTTCCATAAATCAGCCGCTCCGAGGGGGCACGGGGACGAGCAGCTCTGGGGCAGGAGGACGGGATTTAGCAATTACCTTCCTGGTAGGCAAAGCCCGCGGGCACGAACCAGGCACATGGCAGCGACAGCTGTACAGCAGCACAGCAAGGGAAGCCAGAGTCTATTTTTGGAATTGCAGAGGGAGACTCAGCACCCAAGAGCCCGTGGAGGAGGGGGGCGGTAACAAAATAATCAGATTTTTGCCTCACATTGAGCCTGGAGCTGAAGTCTAACATTCATCGCTGTTAAGACAGGATCAATGACACGGTGCCCGGTCTTCATTGCTCACCTCTGTGGACAGGTTGGCCGAACCCTGAGCGTTCTCATAACACAGATCCTCCCGTCGATTAGGAAGGTTTTCTTTCCCACGTTCTTTGTGCTTCATGAGCCAGCTAACTAATGTAATTCTTTGCAGCTGTCTTCCAGGGTTTCTTAATTGAACATGATATATGGATAATATGCAGTGCCTTTATTTTTAGCAATTAAAATCTGAACAGCTTAGACATTGCGGACTATTGTCTTGAACCCACATAACGGCATAATCAGAGTAAACGCTGGGACCTCTGAGGTGATGTGGACACATCCTTACTGTATGGACGAGGAAACCATGAGCAAGAGAGGCCACAGGACCCGTCCGGGCCACACAGTGGCAGGACTGGGATTAGAACCCAGGTCTCAGGATGCTCAGTTCAGAATGCTTATTTCTGAATTAACTTCAAAAAATCAAAGTGGAATTTGGTAGATCTCATTCACAAGAGTCCAGGAAACATTTCTAAAGAACAGGTTCATGGGGCTTGGGCTGCAAATAAAAACCCTCCACCCCAAGTTTTATGAAAACACAAGTGGTTCCCATCAAATCCTGCTCAGAGTTTTCTCCCCTTGAATTAAAAATAAAATAGAGCACCCTAACCGGTTTGGCTCAGTGAATAGAGCATCAGCCTGCAGACTCGAGGGTCCCAGGTTCGATTCCGGTCAAGGGCATGTACTACACACTCCACCTGCTGTTTCTGCTGACATTGCTGTTCTTTGTTATTCTTGCAAAATGAACCTCTAAATTCAAGAAGTCCCCTGATCAACAGCCTCTCGCCTTTTGGTGTTTTTCCGTTTTCAGTCTGTCTCCCTGGCTTGGGGCTTCAGGTTTGAACCTTCAGCCACAGCTGCCGTCTCACCCACACAAGGTCTGAGGGCGGGAAGTGAGGAGTCGTGGCTATAGCAGCCCAGGGGGTGTCATTACAGCACAGGTGCTCAGTGATGCCTGACTGAAGAAATAAATGTGGTTCGAGTGTTAGCATATCCTTTATGGATAGCCATGAGGGAACAAGAAGGCGCTATGAGGAGAGCGGCAAAATGCAAAGAGTTTGGAGATGATGCCACGTCAGGTAAACCACAGCCTGAGGGCCACGTCCAAGCTGCTGTCCAAAAGCTAAGACCCATTTATAGATGATCACTTGCCATCCATTTGTAGGGAGGGCATGCTAACTTTGAATCCAAACTAAATAAAACGCTACCCACAAAACAACCCCTTAATGCACCTGTACTCAATAAGGTACAGTCACTCTTCTATGCTAATTTAATCAATAGAAATGTTGGGAAATTTGTCTTCACTTTTGTTATACCTACAAACACCCTTGATTTTGGTTCTCAGTTCTCAAAACCTGAAACATTTCTTATCTAGTCATTTTTAGAAAAGTTTGTCAACTCTGACAATAGGGCACTTGATGCCACTGAGGCAGGACTGACCTGCCTATTGTTTCGAAAACATAGAACAGGTGCCAGTTACAAGGAAGAGGGAGCGGGATGAGAATGTATGTGGCCTGAAGCACTGATTTATTCAGCAGGTTTTTACTGAGCACCTCCACGGACCAGACCCTCGGCCCTGACTTCCCAGGAGTCTGTGGTCCACCAGAGTCAGGCCGCACTGGTGACTTACACGGA